TATTAGCTAGTTATCTTTTCCCAGAGAGCCCAAATCACAGCAAAACTTGGGATAAGCGAAGTTCAGCTTAACAAAGCAGGAAGTTACTGTGGCTTGTGCAAACACAGAAGTGCTGACCTCAGCGTTTACCCAGTAAAGCCCTGTATCAGTCATGTCTTTCCTTCACTCTTCTAGAGCCTTCCCAAGTAAAGGCAAAGGTGATTCCTGAACACCCAGGTTTTTTTCCTAAGTGTCTGACTGCATTTTCATGACGCCATGCATGAAGTTATCATCTTCATTCATAATGAGCAGTTCTGGCAGTCACTTGTACAGATTTCTTACCCTAGACAAAAGCACAGTCAGAGCTGCCACAAATTCATATCTCCAATTTAGCCATACACCAAAACAAGCAGGGCTGGCTCTGCAGGCAGCAGATGTGAGCTGTGACTGGATTTTGTGGCTAACAGAGCTCTATCACTGGCACCCAGAGAACCAAAGATTTTGGCTGAAGATCCTTGTAGTTGCTCAGTATTTGGACTCTCCAACAATGAAAAAAGGAAAAAAAAAAAAAAGAGACCCATGTATGAGAAGCCAGGATGAGATTCAGGTCCACTGGCTGCCTTCCTTAAATATGCAGAGTTCCCAATAATATTGACACAGGTAGAGTTGTTCCAAGACCTGAATTTTATCCCTCACTACTTTTGCAGGGGTTCTGCTCATTAACTGCAATCAGATAGTCTAGCCACCTTGCTCACAATCAGAGCACAGCAAACAGGGAAATGCTTTAGCTGTTTTTAAACTGCCTGAACTGTGCACTTGGAGGAAAAATACAAGAACTCTTTCACCACTTTCTCCCCACATACACCCTGCTTTTAGATAGAGCACAAATTATTGCCTTGATCCTCCATTCTAGCAGAATACACACTCCATCCTACTGCCCTCAGAGAAGGCATTTGTTCCTTTGCTGCTGAGGACAAAGATATCCACAATTCTTCCAAACTACTCCGAGTGCATGCTCCATAAAGAGAATAAAAAAATGGAAGTTATCACTGGCAAAGAAAAACTACTAATCATGAACCTTAACAGCATGAATGATTTCAGAACATACTGGAAGGGAGCAATTTGTTTCTGCCTTCACCGGCTGCCTGCCTTTTCATGAATATGTTCAGTCCTCCCCATCACTACAGAAAAGTTTCATTCAAATCAGTGCTTCAGTGTTAAAAAGTCATGAGAAATTGCATAACACCTTATATGAAGGTGCTGAAGTCTCAGTTTCACTGTGCCTACTGCGGGACCAACCAAATCCCATAATGTCATCTCTCTCCTGGAGTGACAGCATCAACTGACAAACCCAGTAAGAGATCTGAAGGGGGCCACCTAGAACATTCACCAAAGGTTTTGTGATGCTTTTCACCACCATGAACAAATGCTTATCTGTCTTAACAAGTGCAATAAAGAAGGGTCAGAAATAACAGAGCAGACCAAATATCCTAAAAATAGAGAATCAATTCAAGAACTCAAAAGTCTCCTTTAATCTCAATTATTCCCTCTAAAAATTATGTGAAAGCTCAACCTGCTTTCACTTTCAGACTTTAATACTGATCAAAGTAATCAGTGAACTCGAATTTGAATTATCTTTGCTCTTTGTATCACACAGCTGCCATTTATTTTTCATTGACAGCAGCATACATGATCAAAAATGAGGTGTTGCAGGGAAGAATAGGGACATTGACAGTAATGTCTCTGATTTTTTTTTTAAGAAGTGAACTAAGATTTCATTCCTATTTCAGATTTTTTTTTTTAGTTTTTCCATTTCCTGGGATAATCACATAATTCTAATTCTTTATGTTTCAATTTCGAAAGCATTTTATCTGTCCAGTCTCATGGTAAATAAGACTTGTAGATTATTTAAGGCACAAAATTACATATTTATACAGACAGTAATAAAATGCATCTATAGGCAATTAACAAACTACCCATTTTGGAGATAATTTGGCCAGTGTGAACATCAGACCTTTCTCCAGAATTCCTCCTGCAGGACAGAGTCAGCTTGAATATGCAGGTCCTATTCAGAGAAGGACTTAAGTGCTACTGAATTCCATGAAACAAATTTTTTGAGACATTTTTCAGAGAAAAACAAACTTCAGCACATTCTTAGGAATATTTTTGAACTCTTTCAGAAGTGTGCATGACTCTAATGAAAATGTCATATCTGCACATACAAGAAAACCTTTTTAATCAAGAATACTCTGTTCTTAATATTTTACAATAGGATTTTGTTCTTCTGATAATTCTTTTTTTAGTATTACATTAGTAAGTAAAAAAAAAACCCCACTATAATTTGGGGTTGTGCTGGATCTGACTGGGACAGAGTTGACTTTCTTCATAGCAGCCCATATGGTGCTCTGCTTTGGATCTGTGGCTACAACAGTGATGACAACACACCAGTGTTTTGGCTACTGCTGAGCTGTGCTTGCACAGTGTCAAGGCCACCTCTGTTCTCCCCCTCCACAGCCAGGCTGAGGGTGGGCAAGAGGCTGGGAGGGGACACAGCTGGGACAGCTCACCCAGAGTAGCCAAACGGATATTTCATACAATGTATCTTTAAGTTTAGGAACAAAAACTGGGATAGAGGAAGAAAAATATGGGTTTTTTCGTTTTCAAGTTGGATGTTGTTTGGAGACCAGTTAGGCACTGGTCTGCCATCACCTGATGTGCCATCTCCTTTGCTCTGCTTGTTTATTACCTCCTGAACCAAGCTTTTTTTATTCACCTTCTAATCCTAAACTGTTTTCATCTCTAGAGTTGTCTTGATTTTGTTCTTCCTATTTTCTCCCCTATCCCACTGTGAAAAGCTGCTGTGGGGAGTGAGTGAGGAGCTGTGTGAGTGCTTGGCTGCTGGCCAGGATAAACCCACCACAGTAAGCCAAACAGAAAACCCATTCCAGATTGGTGTACTATTCTCTTCTCAAATTCTGATCTAGAACTTGCCTCAGTACTCAGTGTCTACAAAACTTCATTATTTCTCTAGATGTTTTAGGACACTTTATATCCAAATATCTGAGCTGAGTATAATCCTCACCCCAACTACAGTCTCAAGAAGATTATCATTCTACCAAGGGGTAAAGAAGTGGAGAGAGAGTACAGAAAAAGATTTTCTGACTTGATTAAAAACTTTGGCCTCATGTCCAGAAGGAACATTTACACACACCAGCCATCTTTTAATAGCAACCTGAAGGCTTCTCAGAGCTGAAAAACTAGCCCCTGTGCAAGTCTGAGGACTTTACTAATCTCCCTACTAGTGCCCCTCCAAATATAGGATCTGATTCACAAATATGGACCTTCACTAACAAGACAGCAAGTTTCCTTACTCTCAGAGCCATAAGACATTTTTCTGATGTGGAAGACAAGTACAGCTGAAAAACTATCATATTTTCACTGAAATCACAGCACTGCTTCTGAGAAATCCTTGTGCTGTATAACTTTGCTGACAAGGGTGGAGATGCTTCCAAGGTATCTTGCTCTCTAGGCAGGCCATCTGTTTCTGACAGCTCGAGTTCTGGTCATCAACTGACCCCATGACTCACTTTAGTTGTGTTACATAAAGCTCATAGCCAGACAAGTAGTATTTCATCATGTACTCAGCCACACTTGCAATCAGCAGATGTCCAAGAACCACTTTGGTCACGTATATTTTTAATTCTTTCCTTTGAGGAAATCACACAGCTCACCACTACTGAGTTTAGCATGCTGAATTATTAACTACCAGATTGATTCTATTCAGCCACTCCCTGTGAGCTTTCCACCACCAAAAGCTTTGAAAGTTTGCCATGTAGCAATTCTGTGTAAAAGTTTGAAGCAAAAAGGAAATCCTTAGGAAACAGCATAACTGCCCTCCACCAAAGAAAGAGGGTGTATGCAGTGAGTAACACGTGCAAATGAGAAGAGTTCTCCTTCAGCCTATTTATTATAATGACTAAGCACTTCATAAACCTCAATACATAATCTATTTAGCATCCTGACACCCACATTTAAGTGCAGGAGTATTGTTATCTCATTTTACAGATTTAAAATTGAGGCATAAAGTGATTCATTGAAGATTTCTCAGGAAGCTAGTCATAGGAACCACAGTCCAGATGTCCTAAGCTGCAAGTAAACTGGAGAACCTTAAAAGACATTTGAAAAAAATGGTCCATTACAACTTCACAGAATGATGAGGTCATTAGCCCACTTGTTAGATTCAGGTTTGGAACAGACTGAACTCAGGCTTTTGTAACATGCTGGACAAACTGCTTACTTTCAGATAAAACAGCAAAAGGAATTACTTGATAGGTTTAAACAAATATTTTCTTTGAAATAAGTGGCAAAAACCATGGGGTTTAGACCAACTCTAAAATGAGGCAATTACAGAGACCCCATTTATTAGTTTTGTAGTCTGTGTTTATCTAATTCATTTGCTTTTATTACAACAAAGCTGCCCTTTCCCACTACCCTGTGAACACCTTAGACTACGTACGATATGACTTCAGAATATCACTTAGGCAGAACTTGCAGCTGCAAACCATGCCACACCTTCACAGTGGTTCAAGCAATTACAAAAGGAGGGAAGGAAATGAGGAAAAGCAGTAGGACAATATAATATAAGCTGGCTAGCTTAGTGACACAGAGAAAGAAGATAAAGGAGAAATTTATCTGGAGGGGTGAAAGACTCTTAAAATGAAATTGCCCCATCCCTGGGAATGTTCAGGTCCAGGCTGGATGGGGTCTCAGCTGGTCTAGTGAAAGGTGCCCCTGCCCTTGGCACTGGGGTTGGAACTACATGACCTTTAAGGTCCCTTCCAACCCAAGACACTCTATGATTTCTATATGATTCAGCTTCCAAGATGTTCAAATAGGCTGCACTGCCCTGGTGAAAGAAGCCCTCAAAGTTCCTGGTTTCTTGTTCCTGCACTGATAGACTTCTAAGTAAAGAACCTTCCTGTCTGAATGATTAGCAAAGAGAGATATAAAAGGTATCTTACCACTGTGAATGACTCCAGTTTCTGTTCCTATTTTTCTATCCTCTCCAATAGACTATCTTCTGCAAAAATAGCTGGAACTTAAAAAAAAAAAAAAAAAGGTAATTAGTTAATTTACTCTTGATTTACTTTACTGCTCTTTCCTTACAGGAGACTTCTGCAAAAAAACCACTCCTTATTCCTTTCTTGCTCTGGTCAACACATGGGGTGCCCCTACCTGTTTTTACAGGGCTTATCATTTTTAAGAGCTTATCTTCACTGCCATGAAAGCTTAGGCAATTACCTAAGCCTTGCTGTTAGCCCTACTCTTGACCAAACATACAACTGTCCCACTTAAAACAAACCCATTTTTAAAATACATGTTTTAACCTCAAACTAGCCAGCATGTTCAGATGTGCAGAAGGATAAACCTAAGCAATGCAAATTGCTCTATCCATTCACACAAGAGGGTCATAGGTGCAAGTCACAGTAACTGGCCAGTTACCAATCAAACCCTCTGAGCAGCACTAGTGCTGTTTCACTGTGGTCATTCTCCAGAAAACAACATTATCATCTCAAGAATACTAACTCAGATGAAACAAAGGAAAACCCAAAGAGTGACATGAGCACTTTGTTCACAGTACAAGGTCTTTGCCTATTTGCATATAAATTTCAGAGGAACAGTCCCCATCGTTAAGGACACACAACCACATGGAAAGCTCAGAGCCTGTTTACCTTCCTACACAGACAAATGGAAATTGATTTTCCAATTTCATTAGCAAGGAGGAAGTAGTTAAGTTCTGCATTCTCTTCCACAGTTGCAAGGAGAAGGCAATCATGAACTGGTCAATGGTTGACCATGCATGTCAGACAGAAATTGTTCCTCTCTGGTTGCTATTGGGTTGCAGACTGGTATTTGTTTGCTTTGGAATAAGATCTGTTCAGCAGTCCCCCAGCTAACCCCTAAAAGTATATTGTGACATTTCTGAACATCCAGACTGCTGAAATCAGCCTCTACTAAGCCACTACGACTAGATTATCTTTGTTAATTTTTCCTTCTGTATTACAAAATACTCTCTGTAACAGACTAGAAGTGTGTGACTGCTGTCCTATTTAATCCATTTTATCCTTACAAAGCTACGTGTTTTGCCAAAGTGAATTTTAGACTGCTAAAGTCCTGTCAGTATCACAGGTTTTACTTTAAAGCATGGCAGAAAGCTCTTAATTGCTTCTGCATCCGAAACAGCCAGATGTTCCCCGAAGCACTTCACCTGGCAAAGGCTCTCACAACAAAGACTCTCACAGCTCAGGTCCCAAAGTCCATTGCAATTTAAACACATATTTCTGCATGGCTTGCTGAGTCACAGCTATGTTCAAAATCAAAGGAATGAATAGAGCAATTTAAAATGTGACGCTTCGATGAAGAAATACAAGTACTCACACATGTCAGTGTTAAAGAGCACTTCTGGGTGTTGGAATCTACACAACAGGCACAGATCCATGAGATGAATAGAGGGGTTGGAAACCTGGTGAGGAAAGCATACCCAGTTCCTCGTGTTTGAGCAGAATACCCCAACCAAGCACTCAGGAAGAGGCCTATGCTATGGCCTTACCAATAGTTTGTTCTTTGGTGCAAGCAAGGGCAAGACTCGCTAATTTATTTCCTTCAGAGAGACACAAGGAAGGGCTGAGAACTCATCCCTTTTCTCTAGTGAGCAAGTGGATTAAAACAGAGTAAGACAGTAACCTTCCTAATAGTTACTGCATTTCTTACACCAACATATGGACATTTAACTCCTTCTAGCACTGTCTGTAGTCTGCAGGTGGTATTTTTAGGATTTAAACACAGCAAATAGATCATGCACATTATTTTACTGAGGCACCCTAGTGACTCTGCTTTTTTTCCTGCAAAATACACTGCCTGCTAAACCTCACTTTTGATCTTCAACCTAAGCTGTGGGAGAGAATCCTCTCCAACTTCACTGGAAGATTGAAATCTGAAAAAAAAAAAAAATCAAAATGGGAAGAGTTTTAAAACTTTTAAAAAAATCTATTTATTTTCCTCCTGCTCATTGACTTCTTTTGACAATTTTTGTCCTTTCAAACTTCATAAGATACTGAAGAAAGTGACAGGTAATGTCAGAATGCCATTTCCTGATGTGGTCAAGAAATATGGTATGAAATTAGTCAAGTTAGAATTATAATTGTTGTCCTTTGAGTGCTATTATTAAAAACTATTTTAAAAGACAAAAGAACAAGAACAAAAAATTTAAATCCAAGGTTCTTGTTTTGCATCACCATAAAGCAACAAATAGCCAAGACAATTGTATGCTATATGCAAAATTATAAAAATTGCCAAGTTTTATTGTGTGTTGTAAAGGTTTGTTCTTTCCGAGCAACATCACATCTATCATGTTTGACCAAATAAGATTTAATACCTTGAAAAAAAAAATTAATTCTAGGGGACATCTCTCCATAATTTGATCACTTTCCTAACTCACCATTTTGTACTGTCTCAATGTTCCATAGCACGTTTTCAAAGAAAAGATTATGCAGGAAATAATGACTCAAGGGAGGAGAAAGGAAATCAAGAGTAAAAGCACAACCGATAAAGGGACACTTATTTCATTTATGTATCCTCGCAGAAAATACTGTTGCTTAACATCTACAAATGTTTCAGGTAATTTCCCACCATAATGAAAGGTCAATTCTTGAGGTGATTTTTATTTTCAAACAAAAAAGGACCCTAAAACAGGAAAGCATGCTGTCATTCAGCAGGTCATAGAATACAGACTCCTAAAAAAACAGTGGTCCATCCTCCTTTGTACCAGAGCCATGGTTGATGAAGGATATGTGCATGGAGATGACATGAAACCCCCCTTGCAGAACCTTCAACACATTGTCCCTCACTGCAGGGAATGAAGAGAAAAATGCAGAGCCTCAGATATCACATCACCAAACTGCACATCCAGCAGAGCTCAGTGACAAACAACTACCCCAAATCTAACAGAAGCCAAAAAACCCAGCAGGAATCAATGCTCATTGCAGCTCTAGAGACCTGTAGAAGATACAAATAAACCAAGTACTTAAATCCCTCTCCATCTTGAACTCTCACCTATTCAACAGTTCCCTAACCCTAGTATTAATGTGATATATGACACATACAAGCACCAGAACCAGGTACTAAATTTAAATCTAGACCACAACAGCTATTCATTGTGACACAGGCCTTAATGAATCTACAGAGCAGAATCAAAGCATACCACGAGCTATATAACACTCTAGACAGGGGTCCTCATCTTATAAAAATTTTCTTTATTTTTCAGAAAAGTAAAACAAGCTCTCAGACCACTTTTCTTCTGATGTATAAATCTGACCCTAACCTTAACCTAGGATTTCACAATATACTTATCACACAGAAGAGCTCGAAAACCTAAAACGCTGCACTCTGCTAATTCCACTATAGACCTAGGAGTCTCATAGATCCTAACAGCAAACATAATCTCCAATTCCCGTGTACATATCCTATACACAGTGCAAAATACAGTGCTAAGTATAGCCTAGTGACAAAGATCGGCACTGAAATTAACTGAAAGTAATTTGTCCCAGTCTGCTGAGAGTTGTTTGTTTGGCTTTGGTTTGGATTGGTTTATTGTTTATTTTTTTCAGAAGAAATTGAAACCTAGGTTTATAGGTGAAATCAGAGGCATGCTGAGCTGGGATGAATGCTGATAACACAAGCATACAATGGACTATGGCTAACTTTCTTTCCAGGATATTTCTCTGGTGAGGCCACTGATGGAACATTTAGGTGAGAAGGAAGTCAACAGAAGGCAGGGAATCTTCTACTGAATGTTGATATGACCAAGTGCAAAGACTATTTGGCATTTGCTGGTACACACACATAAAAAAAGTGAGATTTTGTTGGCAGTTTTGGCACTGGGGTTTTTTTGGTCCTTTTTGGGGTTTTGATTTTGGCCCAGCTAGCAAGTCACATTTCCCTAATGGCCAGTGCAGTTATTTAGCACATGGAAAGCAAACCTCCCTGTCTTTGACAGTTAAGCCTCAGCCTTACACCCAACACAGACTGTAAGCTCTGATGCAGTCATTGCAAATAAGGCTCCTTGTCTGTCACTGCTACACTTCAACACAGTTATAAGATCCTGTTTTGCATCTCAGTATTCAGTCAATTAATAACAACCCTGCCTGCCTTTACAACTAACCCACGATGCTCCATCTTGTGCACTACAGTTTCCAGCTCTGGCCAGGGAATGCAGTGTTCAGCACACTCAGCAGGATCCAGCCTTCAGAGGACAATTCATATCGACATTCATGACGTGCGTTTCTTATTACAACAAAAGATGCATATGGCTGTAAAGCAGCTTAAGCTCTCTGACTAAAACCATCCTCATCTGATATTTGCCAGAGATTGTATAGCAAAAGAATCTCTTGACTTCAGGACTGGGAAAAAACTAAATAAAAACTTCAGGATTGGACCAGCTCTCATCCTATGCCAGATTTCTGTCCAGTGGCACAAGTCAGATAAGAATACCACAGTATGGCAAAGGAGAGGATTCATGTTCAACACTGGCCCAGAAAGGAAGGAAACCTGCAAATGCTGTGTTGTCCTGTCAGGGTGAAAAATTGCTCTTGAAGGCCCTCATAGCATGGAACCAGACATACAACCAGCATTCTTTCAGTTTTGGCCAGCATGACACAGCATGATCTAAAACACAAACCAACTCTGGTGTTTACTATGATCTATACATCTTAAAGGACTTAAATATCCTGTTCTTCTGGTCTTTGAAGCTCTTCCTTGTTGTATGGAAACTCTGATGTGAGCTAGAGCATCAAGATGGGCTCAGAAGCTTTATAGATACATTTTTTAAAACAAGTCCTCATCCAGAGCCTGTAAGCACCTTTATTCTCCTAATAGTGATCTCCTTATTTCAGTTTGTTACTCCTCCTAATGTAACATCAGTCAACAATTTACTCTCAAAGTATTAATGGCCTAACCCAATTCTTCCTGACAGAACTGGAGCTGGAATAGATCCGTAACACAGACATATGTGAGCCAGATGACACTGGAAATTCCACACCA